GTACCGCACCAGCTGAGCGACGCCAACAAGGCAACACGCGTGGCGATGGCAGGAATTTTTCTTAGTCGCTCCAACATCAATGGTTTTTCAATTCCATTGTTGCATNATCTGCTGGTCCACCACAAGATGCGATAATCGGTCTCGTCTTAATTTCATTCAATGGGAGGGACAATGTATTTGTTGTTGCCGGAATTTTGTATACATATATGTATACATATATATTAGGTTGTTCGGAAAGGAATGCGCGCCAACTTTGTCCATTTATTTCTCCCCTACTAGAGGAGATTTTCCGAAACAGTTTCGCCTTTAAGAGAGAGTTTTTTATTGCGCATCTTTTGATACATTTTTTTATGTCTACTTTGTTTTTTTCTGAAGAAAAGAAGTTCAAGAGATGCTTGACCAAAAATTGCTTTTGCGAGCTTGCATGTGGTACTACTTCAAGCAAGGAAAATCGGCTGCTGAATCTCATCGTACCATCTCTGAAGTATTCGGCAATGAAGCCCTGTTAGAAAGCTAGTGTCGATGATGGTTCCAGCGTTTCAGAAAAGGTAATGAAAGCTTGGAAGACGAAGAACATGGAAGTCGGCCTCAAGCCGTCGACAACCAAGTGTTGAAGGACGTCATCAATTCGGAACCACACCAAACCACCCGAAAACTGGCAGTACTGCTCAAACTCTACCATCTAGAGCATTTGCTGGTGGTTGGCAAGACGAACAGGTGCAGAAGATGGGTACCGCACCAGCTGAGCGACGCCAACAAGGCAACACGGGTGGCGATGGCAGGAATTTTTCTTAGTAGCTCCAACATCAATGGTTTTTCAATTCCATTGTTGCATCATATAAAAAATGGGTCTGTTTCGACAACATAACACGAAAACGACAGTGGATGAATACCGGTGACACTCAAAAACCCTCTCCGAAACCGGATGTACTCGTCAAAAAGGTGATGTTTGGTGGAACAGCGAAGGTTTAGTGTACTGTGAAGTCCTGGATTCGGATCAAACGGTTACGGCGGACATTTACAAAGAACAAATGAGCCGCGTGGATCAAGCACTGCGTCGTCAAGGTGTTGAACGACATCGACAAAATTCCTCCACGACAACGCTCGTCCACATGTCGCGAAAACCACCTTGGAAAAAATTGAGGAGTAGAGGCTGGGAAGTCCTGCCTCACCCGCCTTACAGCCCAGATCTGGCACCACCCGAATACCCCTGCTCCGGTCGATGCAGCACTCCTTGGTCGAGAGAAAGTTTACAAACCGCGAAGAAGTCCAACTCTGGGTGCCCAACTATTTTGAGTCGCAGCCGGCCGAGTTCTTCAGAAGAAGAATCTATTCTTTGCGTGAACGATGAGAACAAGTCACCGATGGTAATGGAGAATATCATTTAAATTGATCTTGTTCAGTTTCGTTTTTATAATAAAAAGTTTTTTAAGCTCAAACGCGCATTCCTTTCCGAACAACCTTATATATATATATATATATATATATATATATATATATATATAT